TTTCTAAGACCTTGATAAACAACTAGTGCATTAAAAGAGTCAAGAGCTATATAGAACGCTAGAGGGTTGAATGAAAGGTAACCAGCGTGGGAGAAGTAGGAGCGAATGAAAAGAATTTAAAAAGTACAGTTAGAAAGAAAAGCGGGGATATTAACGTTCACAACATGGCTTATAGGCCCATACTACTCCTAGCTAAATTTAAGTAGTATCTCAGTTATAACAAAAATTTGCGAGTCAAGATGGTGCATTGAATATTTTGTGGTTAAGAGACAATCAGTTTGATTCAATCAGTTAAAAACATTGAAGATGTAATGACAAAATACGTATCTTTACTTTTCAGTAAACTGAAGGAATAATTTATTAAAACACTAATAACTCTAATTCCCTGACGTGTTTAATCTTTGTTAGTAGGAAATAGAGGAACCATTATTAAAGTATAAAAATGATATTGAAATGCACTTCTAAATATTGGTTGTGTTGTGTTCTGTGGGCTGAATGGCCTAATCTTTAAGTTCTCATTGTCTTTCTAGACAATATCACCAGTACGAACTTCAGTATGAAGTTCATATTTAAATTGATGAAGTAAAAACAAACATGTAATGTTGTCTTTTCCTAATTCAAGTTTGAGGGAGTAATATGAAGCCCATTAAAATTCCTTGAATATCCATGGGTCTCAGCCCTTTTTAATCACATTAATAATCTCCGTTAAAGCATAAAGTAAAGATTTCAGTGATAAAAAGAGAGGTTTGTGGAGGACAAAAAAGAGAGTACAACAGAGTTCCTTTTCTCCTATACACAAATAAATAAGTTAACTACTACGGAAAAAAGCAAAGCAGTAAGCGCATACACAGAGAGAGGAGTCTAAATCAAAATCATTATCACTATTATAAACTAACAGATGAGAAATCTATTTTGTGTACATATGTGCAATGATGTTTACATTGATGTCTTATAATACTAGAAAGCTTATCCAAATGAAGAAGGTAGTAAGTTATAGTTAAATAAGAAAATAGAAGACTGAAACAACCCTGAAAATGTTTTTTTTGGTACTAAGTGGAGAAAAAGGCAAAATAATTTTTGGACAAGGACAAAAAGATTAGTAGAGAACGTAAATATTTACTATTATTATTTGTTCCACGGGTTCCTCGGGGAACAGACAGATTCAGTAGCACATCTCCATTACACTCTCTTCTCTCCAGTCTTTTCAAACTGGTTCAACGACTACCCACAACCTCTCATTTATTTCTCACACTATCTCTCCCATGTCACCCTCAGCTAGAAAGCCTAACTCGTCGTTTCTTATTTGGATTCTTGGATTCAACTGAACTGACGCGTAATGTACCCAATTGGCACTCTCAGTGTTCCATCCAATCCATCTACACTTTCTTCCTCCACATATTTGTTGATCGATAGGTTCTTGCTTCGTGGGTTCGTTGCCAGCTAGCTAGCCAGCCAGCCAGACAGCTAGCCAACCCACACTACCTCCTTGCCTATTCTTTCTTGCCTTCTCATCTCATCTTCACTATCCAGCCACCATACGTGGCATCTGTTCACCAATATCTCTTGTTTCTTACAAATGCTTCTCGAAACACGCAAAGTCTCTCAACCATCACATAGCAACACTGACTTACTTGACTGACTTACTGTTGGAAATTCCCATCTTATTCACTCTTCATGCTGAGTGGAGTAGATCTCCACACTGATTTCCGATTGATGAACTGTCTGTCTGTCTTGCTGTCATTCCGATCCTGACTGGTTTTGACATTCTCTTCTGTTTCTCCACAGCCACCTGCAGTTGAAACGATGCTGGCCAGCCAGGTAGTTATGTGAAAGAGACTACTTCCTTTACATTTCTGTCATTGATGTTGATTGGAGCTTGTCGTTGTTGTTGTTGGTGGTGGTGGTAACGTTGGCGTTGGTTGGGTATCATCATCACCTCCATCTTCTCCACGTTCACTTGAAGTTCTGTCTTCTCTACCCTGTCTATTCTATCATCTTGTTGTATTTCGCTTGTAGATCTTCGTGTTTGTGTGACATTAGACATAAATTATCGTCGAGGAGATCCAAATCTTCTATGGTTTTTTCATTTGTGTAACAGAGTGTGCCAATCTTCTCACTTGTCACAGTTTGGTGTTTGATGCAGTCGATGACAATGAAGAATGTTGTGGTTGATATTAGGCAGCGTTGTGTTACTTGTCGACCTGTCTTCACTTCAAAGGCGTCACTGAGCATTGCATGGTCAATCACACGGCAAGCTGCGTCTTCAGATATCTGCTGAGTGAGTTTTATAAATGTTTATGTCTCTTAAAGCTTAGTTTTTAAGCAGCTGCCAAATTACTTTTCTTTCGACTCTGTAGGAAGTTTCTCCAAACTGAATGAAGTTGAATTAAAGTGTTGACTGCCGTTCTATGCACTATTGCGTGATGTTGTGTTACGTAGCGTTGCAATTTTTCCCTCACATGATTTGTTTTTCCTGAAGCCAGATATTTCGGTCTTTATTTTGAACTCAGCACATCGTTTAATCTCTCTGTGATGGTACGCTTAATATTTTACTTGAGGTGGGCAGAAGTATGATTACTCGCCAGTTCTTGCAAAGACGTAGGTCTCCTTTGTTTGGGAGTTTGACAAGGTACCTCTTCTTCCTATCTGCAGGTACCTTTCCTTCCTTCCACACCTTCTGCAGTAGTGAAGATGTCGGCTGCGGTTTCTGTATCCGTTTTTAATACTTCTGGCAGAATTCCATCTGGTCGTGCTGCTTTTCCGCATTTCAGCAACTTTATGGCATTGAGGACTTCAGCTTACGTCTGAGGACCTGTGTATACTGGTATTTTCGTGGCTGCAGTTAGTGGTCGATTCAAGAGTTTTTTGAAGCGGTCAGTCGATTGTTTCCTTCCTCTCTCCTCTTCGGTAACTAGGTTTCCTTTGCTTTTTTCGTTAGTTTCATCTGTGCTGTGTTGATCTCTTCCCCAGACAATAACCTAGTCATTTGATATAGTGTTCCACTTCACTCAGCAGTGTGTCGTAGAATTGTCTTTTGTCTTTGCACGCACTCTTTTTCACTTCTTTGTCCAGTGTAGTGTTTTATGGGTTGTGTTCAGTTCCTCTTTCCGTTGTTCCTCCTTGCACTGGTTCATCTTCTGCCTCACCATCTTCCTCTCTTCTATCAGTTTCCATGTTTCCGTCGAGATCCATTTCCTTCCTAATACAGTTATCCGGTTAACCGGTAAAGATACTCAAGATCTCAGTACATTTTAACTGGAGGTAGTCAGCACCCAAATCTTCACAACTTCAGGTTAAACTGGGGATCAACAGACGTCACTCATTTCTGCAGTTAGAGACGTTACGTCTGAATCAATTGGGTCGCAGCTGACTTGTTTTACGACTGGATTAGTGTTACTTACCGACTGGTTTCAACAATCTAACACTATGTCTTCCTTAACTACGTAATCTCGTAAGTGAAGCGAAATTTCATCTCATGGTTATAATTTCTGAGTTCATGCTCATTTCTCATAAAAATTAAATATTTTGTGAATCAACTAGTTAACAACTTAAATTGCAACGTTTCATGTAATTGACAGATGATGCGGATTAACTGATAAAAGAAATCTACCAGATATATTTCATAAAAGTGTGATAACAACTGAGTATAGTTAGTTAGAAAAAATACCTTGCATTACCCATTGAATATCAAAGAAAATGAAAGTAAAGGTAGGAAGTAAAACTTAGAAAAACAACAATATTTGCATAGTAGTAATGACGGACAGTGGGTAGTAGTGGAATCCAGGATGGGCGTTTCGTCAAGCAATAATACTAAAACTATGCCCATCGCAAAAGCAGGGGCTATTGTGGCTTGGTGGTGTAGTGAGTAACGCCTTGGCGTTTGAAGCAATCAGTTCCGAGTCCGAATCCCAGTGGAAACAACACTGACTTGGAAGCAGGTACATCCAGACGACTGGTGAGTCGTAAATAGGATGAAGTGCGAATCCTGGATTCCACTGCTAGGCACTATCCATCATTACTACAATTAGAACACAGGTAATATCGAGGCATCCACACAGGAGCCCAGTGCCAATACAGAGTGATCAATTTGGTTTAATGAAGGACAGCAAAATATGAAGATAATTGTACTAATGTTAGCATAAGTTAATACAAAGTTCGGTTAGTTTTCATGCTACTGCATGATGCGACTTTCAAGTGAGAAGAGGAACACGTTTAGGAAAAAGGAGTGTATGAAATGTTTTTCATGCAACGTTAAGCTTTAGTAGGCTTATAGAAAATGAATTCTCATTGGCAATAGTAGGTGGTTTCGTATCTGGAGAATCGTTGATGTGATCATCTAAGACAATAAAGGTTGGGAAGACTATTATTCTGGTTCCATCTGATAACTGAAAGTGAAATACAAACCTATGTAGCTCAAGGATGTGAACCAAAAGCCTCCTACTGTCTAATTCAGCCTAACTTGGACTGATACACTCCATCTTTTCTGCGCAAATGGTGTAATTACGATAAGTTGATAATTACTTATGGTGCATTCACATGAGATCTTGCCAAAACCCTCGATGATTCAGGGTAAATCTTTGTCAGTATGTGGGTCTCGTAATTCAGTCAGTTGGCAGTGTACTGAAGAGTTCATCCAAGACCACTCAGTCATATTCTGCATCGATCCTTCTGTAATCACCACACTGTATTCAACAACAGATTGCTGAAACATACGGAACGATATACAAATTTGTAAATATTCTGGCGTCTAACAGTATAAGCTTGTTTTTAAGGGTATTTTGAACTTCCAATCTGCAGTTTCGTGTTTCCCTACCTTCCATAGTTGGTATGATGGGTATTTTCAAACTATCTCTGCTCACTCCGCGTTGCATTTTTTAATCGGCAAGTGATTTAACTGTATATCTGTCAATTCGCTCAATCGATCAATAGAATATCTGTTTATAGTTTCTGTTTGTTGCCACTCATTTACTAATTTTTATCGTTTGTCAATCCTGTTATAGTTAATTATTGTTTTGACCACAATTCACCTTCTGTGCAACTTCAAGTTTGGTTTCGCACCTATGGCTAGTTGTCTGAATACGTCTTGTCTAACTTCCTGTTTTCACCTGTCACGTACAGCTAGTTCATAACGTAATATTACTCCATTCCTTGGAAAAGAGAAGGTATATTCCTTACAGTTTTAACCGTAAGTGCATTTGTCACATTATTATTTCATACTGTATCTCATTTTTGGGTTTTTTTTAACATTCCACGTAATGAAACTAAAAAGCAGCTGCCTACTAGATGAAATTTCACATCCACATCATGGACATGTTTTTAGTGGAAATAAATACCTACTTCATTTTAGTTAGTAGTATCGGTGAAAATCTGAATAGAAATATTGCCATTCTGTTTTCCTTCAATTTTCTATTAAGCATAATTGTTAATTACCATGTAGTTGAAGATAAATGAGGCCTATATTTTCCTTGAGTTAACCGAATACGAATTAGGTCTTGATACGTTTTCTTCGAGTTACTGCACTCTGTTGATAAGAAGACTGGGGACGACATTAGGATCCGACAAAAACTAGATTTTATACTTAAAGACAACGACTATGACAAAGAATTAGTTATGTGGGACAGATATACGACAACTTTTTAAGTTCCATCCATCCATCCAGATCAACCTAGGACCAGGCATTGCTGCGTAACACACCTCATATCAGTACATCAAGTAAGAGGCAGTTAGGAGCAAGATGAAGATAAGAAAATGCTGTCAAAAGGAAGAGAAAAACGAGAAGAGAGAAAGGAAGAATGAGAAAGTGATGAGATTCGGTATAGCGTCGTTAAGATGAGGATAATGTATGCATACATTGCACCACTGACATCGGTTCTCAGCCATATCACCTAGAGTCTTCAACCACTGGTTCCTCTGGTTCCGCGGAATTCAACCAGCTAGTCTGAATCGCCTTACATGGCTCGAACCAACAGTCAAGGACTTCATATATTGATGACACGCTTTAGTCTAGCCACCTTGGGCCTTTTTCCAGCCTTGACCTACTTCAGCCAACATTGTGTGATGGGTCAATCGGCGACCAGGCATACGTAACACGTATCGCAAACACCTCAGTCAATGAAGATTCACATCCTCGTCAACCGACTTACCTCTTCTCCCTAAAACTCTACTCCTGACTGCTGCGTTACTCAAGTGGTAACTCCGTGGAATATGGCTAATACTACGAAGGCAGCAGTGGTCAAACACCTGAAGCCTTCTTATGTCTTTCAAGTCCCGAAGTGGTCTCAGGAAACACCATCTAATATCAGTGGTACATCCAGTTGCGCGTACCTCAGAATTATTCGACGAAGCCTCCAATGTCGTGACTAATCAAATACACTACTACAGATAAAGATCATCAGACAGCAGTGTGGTAAATTAAAGGAATGTGCAAACATAGGAAGCACTTTGTTTACTAAATTACAACCGGGATTTTCGATTTATTCTCCCTTCAGTTTTATTCATGATTTATATAGCTACTCAGGTAGTTATTTTTATGCAGACGTATAACTAAAATCTTACCTCCAAAGAAATGCATTGTCGGGCTTTGTGAAGCCCTTAGTAGAAGTCACTGTGCATATAGGAAAAGAAAGGTGTCGTCACCTAATCATGTACTTCAGTCAACCTTCAAGGCAACAAGCCACCGAATTACTTTTCAGTAAAGTTATTACTTCACGTTATGGTACATTTTGAAATATATCTGCGTAGGGAAGGCCATTCAAAGAAAACATAGATGTGGATATACAGCTTTATGATGTTTGACTGTACTCATGAGTTTGAACTTCAATGAACTATTTCTGTACTTGAAAGCAAACACAACTCGTTAAGGAAATTATGTCTCTCCTCCTCAAGGGCAAAACGTCAGTGTTTAGGTCTCATGGAACACGTTGATCCTTGTGTAACAACATACTTCTAATGTAAGGATAAGATAAACCTACAGATGTAAAGAAACTTCACTGGGATCACCAATATCTGGATTACTTGCGGTAATGCAGAGATTGGAGCCGTCATTTTATCTCTTATCAGTTAAAAATTTTGATCCGCTGTGTAAAATAAACTTTTCTCCCCATTCATTAGGGTGAATTAGAAAAAAAAAAAGGTTGATTAACAACGTTCTCAACGACATGAAATTCACAATAGAGAAGGGGTTGAACAGCATACTACCATTCCTAGGTGTTTTAGTTAGTAGTATCATCACACGACAACTGAAGACTCAAGTGTACAGGAAGTCGATACACCGTGAACAAATTCTTAGTTAAAGTAACAGCAATTCAAAAACGACAATATTAGTTGCATACAGAATTCATTGAAACAGGCAAGAACATTCTACGTGAAGAAACGAAGAGAATTAATTGATGGCAACGGCAAAAATGAGCCGTTATTCAGGGAACATTGTCGGAACATGCCCATCACGTTCATCATCAGCTATAGAGTCATCCACAGGGATCATGACGAAATTATTGAGAAAATTTGGGACCGGTGTGGCTCATAAACCAACAAATTCCCTTAAAGCTATTTAGTGCCATCTGAAAGACTCAACAGAGAAACAATACAAACCAAATATCATTTAAGACATCAGCTGCATAAATGTGATCAGCAATACACTGGACAACATGGTCACCTTTTCCAGCTCCTTTATATGAACAATAATTGACTGTTGAATGTCATCACCTTTCGTCACTCCTATTAATGGATGTGAACAATTATGAACAGGAATTCAATTCTGTAAATGTAGAGAACTTACAGAGAGGAAAGACAAAGATTATCATCAATTTTCTAGAGGTTTGGCATTTAGGTAATACAAAAATCAAAGGTGTATGGAGATTAACCCAATCTACCAGCCAAAAGGAAAAATGATGAACACCTGCTAAGGTTAGAGGTCAGGCAGAGAAATAGCAAACAGAAAAATCTATGTATTCAACGATGCAACAACCATTTCGTTAGGGCAGGCAGGCTACTGAGTCAACCACAGAGAAAACTTTACAGCTCATTTCATACTGAAGTTAATGTTGATGAGGTTGTTAAGAAAGATATTGAAATCTTCATGATTAAAGTTTCCAGCTCAGAGAACGCTACACAGTTAGTTTTGACTTATTTCACCACTTCCCTACTAAATATTACCAAAGGAGGAGTTCTTACGTAATTAATCTACATCCAGTTGAATCCCAAAAGTGACTAGCTGTATGAAGTACTAAACAGCAATCATACTGCTATGAAGTGATGGTTTCTTGGTTTCATTGTTTGTGGATACACCATCTCCTACTATGATGCAGATGAATTCATCTGACCACACTCAAATAGGACTAGACATGCATCATGGATACAGCTTCTAACCAGCAATAAACAAAATTAGTTGAAACTATCCAACTTCATATTAGCACAGTTCTCAGAATTAAAAAGTGTACGTATTTTACCATGCCTAGCTTTTATCCGATTATTACTTTTGTTACAAACTTAGTCTATGCATCTATTTACTTAAGACAATTTCATATTTTTGTTGGTGTTTACTCACCATCATTCGATTTGTTTTTCCTTATACGTTACAATAGTTGTAAAACAATACTTAGATAAAAATCTCTTGTTACTTAACTCAGAGTATAGGAGAGTAAAGAATTTGTATATTATACGGAATTCATTAAGATAAAACTTGCTTCATTTAAATTACTGTTCCAAGTAAGTTCTGGTGAAATTGTATTGTAGTATATTTCTGTCCATGTAAATGAGACCTAATTCTTCGATGGTGCAGTGCCATTAAATGTTTACTTTCATGCTATTTTCAGAATACTAGTTGTTTTAAAACCAATATGACAACAGATGGAGAATGTTAAGTAAGCAAAATATCTTCCTAATTTGTCAAAAGAATTGAGACAGATGGATGAAGAGTAACAAGGTCACTGTGAGACCTAATGTTTCTACGCTCATCCCTTCAAGTCGCTGAGGAGTCCTACACTATGATGAACAGCTGTTCAGCGCTACTATCACTTTTCAAATTGATTTCTCTCCGTAATGAACACTATCTGGAAATCGTTTTGGTGTCTGGTTGGTGGCTAAGAATGGAATCCAGGAGGTACATTTTATCTTGTTTGAGACTCATTAGGTGGATGTACCTGCGTCACAATGAGTGATTTTGTTCCCATTGAGACTCGAACCCAGCGGGAAAAATATCATTCGCTGGAGTGTAGACCTGACGAGTCTTAAGCGGAACGAAATGCACGTCATGGATTCCACTACTAGCCACAATGTAGATAACAACTTGATGAGAAGTCAGGCAATAGTGGAACATCCGCTTAGGAGTTTATCTGCCAACAGAGGTCTAATAATTTGACCCAGTATAGCAACAGGAGTTTACAAGTATCAGAAGAATATTTACATTATGCCAATTATTCGTATCATTTAGCTTATGGTTTAGTTTATCGACCACCGATGTTTGTATAGTCAAAAGTTTGTCCTAACGTGACGTTTTGTGTAATCTGTCGCAGAATCATAGAAAAAACAGAAGTTATTCACCTTTTATTAGTTCGATAAAACAGGTGCATAACTTTTGAAGTTATCGGAGAACATTCATTTTTACCATTTGAAGTCAGTGTCCACTATCTATAGACTGGAACAGATGATAATGGAACAAGAATGATGAGAAAATAGTGAATGGTAATTCCTACCGAACTCGGTGAAGAATTCATAACAGCAATATCACCTACGCTTCTCATTCACATGGAAGCTAGAGTTATTTTCCCAGTCACCGAGCTAAGACAGTACCGCATTTTATCTCCAAGCGTCATAAACTTAATCGTGGATTTCATAAACCACTTATTGACAATTCATACCATTCATTAGTGAGTAAACGTTAATACTAATAACAACTATGAGATATTATGAGATGTCCAATAAATTTTATATATAAAGTCTGAAATTGCTAATAAAACTATTAGGAAGCTAACTGAAACATTTTTGGAGTAAATTTGTTGTGTAACATTCAGGAGATTCACTTGAAATCATACAATACTGAATGAAAACTGTCTATTAAACCTGCCAGTAAGATTTAGTTTTAGTAGAATACCAGACTGTATAGCTAAGTCGTATAAAATAGAATCTGATAACCTGAAAGGTGTCAGTTTGGAAGGGGACACGTATATAAGTTTCCGTTTTGTATTACATTTTCATGACATCGTAAGGGTTTTAAAACTGCGGAGTATATGACGAGATAAAACAAAACTGGTCATTTTTTTTTATTGATGTCTACTGATATATACATTAAATCTGATGAGTAGTTCATCAAAACATGCAGTGAATTTGGCATTTGTCTTCATGGCTGTGTTGTAGGTGTGTTACTGAGATGCGATTTGAATGACAGAATGATTGGAAGCTGCATACTGAACTGACTTTAAAAAGGGTATAATTAGCTCACCAAAGAAACTTATAGCTTATTGAAATGGCATAGTTACTTAAATAATTGGAGTTATTTCAAGTATTCTGAAGTATTGTATCAACGATGAATGAACTTAACAATTTGAGCATGGTCTCAGATAAATACGGTAGTCAATGTGTGATCTTGCATAGACATTCTCCATAAAACAGTGTCACTTGAAATACAGCCATAATGAAATTTGAAAAGCTATATAAAAGGAGAGGGGATAAATAATTACCGGTTGATGAAAATTTCACCGTTTTAAATGATTAACCCTGGTGGAATCTGCGATCCTGTGATCGCTACTGAACTAATTAGCTAACAGGTTCCAATCAGCTGACATTACTGTTATAATGACTGCAACCAGACGTCTATAGCTGCCCACGTGATGATTCATCGAATCATCATTAACTTTCTTCCAACCTAATCTTATTTTGAGCTTATATGGTGTGTCGAGATAGGCCATGCAACACCTGAGTAACTGATTAGCTTTTCTTCCGTGATAGGTTATGTCATACGTCAATAGTGCTCATTCATTATGCTACAGTATGCTGAAAATGTTACACAATGAAAAATTATGAAAGACTTAAAAACTCCCTAAGTGTTCAACGGTCAATCACAAAATGTCAGCTGTACAACAAACATGACCCTCAATTGGTAGTTGAATATCTCCTAGAGCCTAGAGATTATTCAGTTCAACAAATGTTAGATAGACCTAATGGATCCAGGTTGAAAACGCATCAGAAACTAATTCATTCTGGTTATCAGTAATTAATTATTCTCACTGAGTCTGAATTCGATTGTTGTGTGAATAAAGCCTCACCAATGCAAAGGTAAACATCTTCTCACACCTCTTAAAAGACTACGTTCCACTCTGTAGACTAGGGTAAACAAATCTTCTGAAACTGTGTCCGTTGTAATATTGAAAATAGCCTTCATTATTAGCTGAAGCAAGCTTGATAGTGGACACAGTTCCAAAAGATTTGTTTGCACTACTTTACAAAGTGCAACGTATTCCTTTTGAAGGGTTTGAAAAAGTATTTACTTTACAGTGCTGAAGCTTAAGTTTTCAGGAATCCCCCAGTAACTAAATCTACTTCGTAATTTCACTGTCTACCTTCCTATTTATAAATTGTGACAATGTGATGACTAACTTATCGAGTGTAAAACACTTTCATACTACGTGAAAGTTCAGCTAAGCTTCATAATATATACCTTCGATCACAAAGTCTACAATATTATGGAACAAAGTGAATATATAATAACAAACTAAAAAATGGGAAAGAAACACGTGGCGTGATAAAAGACAAAAGAATGATGGCATGACTGTATGTTTTTCACTATTTATACAATCTGACGATATCTACTGAACTTTTCAGTTTTATAGTTATCGTCATTATGAGAAAATTTATCATGAATTACTCCAAACTTCCCTAGTTGAATATCACAGACTTTTGGTGTTTTACTGAAGTGGAAACTTTACTAGACAGTTAGAATTTATGACCACATTTTCAACGAAATCAAGTAATTAGGAAATAGTTGCAGACGATCGAAAATGAAACAGGATTATTGAGGTAATTATTATTATTTGTCCCTTGGGTTCCAAGTGGAACATACGGCTTCAGTAGCAAGTCTCCAGTGCACTCTGTTCTCTGCAATCTTTTGAACCTCACTCCACGATAGCCCAGTAGCTCTCATTTCTTCCTCATATGATCTCCTCCTTGTCATCCTCACCTTGGATGCCTAACTCGTCGTTTACTATCCAGCTTCCATTCGACGGCCTGGTGCATTATGTCCTCGAATGGTATTCTCAGTGCATGCCCAATCCATCTCCACTTTTTTCCAGTGCATATTTGTTGAGTGATAGGTTGTTAATTGGTTCGTTCCTAGACCACAATTCCTCCTTGCTTATGCCTTCTGGCCATCTGAGCTTCAGTAATGAGCCAGCGTATGCAGTTGTTGATGAATATTTGTAGTTTGTTAGGAATTCCTTTCATAACGTGCCAAGACTCTCAACCAACACACAGAAGCACTGACTTGACGTTGGTGCTGAAAATCTGGATTTTGTTCTTTATATTGAGAGCAGAAGACCTTCACACTGGTTTCAGGTTAATAAACACCTGTCTGGCTTTTCCGATCCTGGTTTTGACATCCTTGTCTTTACCGTCACCTGTAGTTGAAACGATGCTGCCTAGATAGATGAAAGAGTCCACTTCACTGGTGATTGGTGCCTCTTGTTGTCGATGCTGTTGTTGATTGGCTATCTTCATCACCTGTGTCTTCTCTACATTCACTTAAAGTCCCATCTTCACTGCCTCACCTCACCTCTTCTGTCAACTTGTTAGTTTTCGCCTGTAGATCTTCACGTTTGTGTGACATTAAACACAAGTCATCGGTGAAATCCAAATCTTAAAGGATGTTTTCCCCGGTCCAGCCAGCGTATCCCCCTCTTCTCTCTCCTCACAGTTGGTTGCATGATCCAGTTCAGTCGACCACAATCAGGAAGATGATCGTGATAGTAGATAGCCTTGTTTTACCCCTATCTTCACCTCACTTCAAAGTCATCACTGAGCTTCCTATTTTGAATTACTTGATATGTGGCGTCTTCATATAGTTGTTGAATGAGATCGAGGTAGCTTATTCATAATGTAGAAATATTACAGGTTTCTGTTCAGCTTAGACCTTTTGCTGTCATTTTGTTTTTAGTTTCCATTAGTAACAGACTGATATAATACCATGGAGAACATTAGTATCATCTTACAGAATGGAACTAAATATCTCGGAAACGATCAACCCTTAAACTCTCAGTATGAGTAAATTCATTCATTCGTAATAGTTTTCTATATACACTGTTGTGAAATCTATCGGTATCGGAGTACTTTTGACAGTAAGCTGTAATTGCATACATTCAATCATTTCAATTTTTTTCGATGATATTTATGCATTGGCTACATTTTCATCCTCAACGAGATACGTGGATATCACCACACGTATCGCCAAATAAGACTTCTTGTATTTCTTAGAACTATAGATGGTTTCGAACTGCTGAACTGAACATGAGTAGGAAACTGGCGGTGATGCAGAAGTGCGTTAGTGTCCAGCAAGGCATTATACACAGGTACTTTAGGCATGGTGACGGCAGACAACTTCACACAATTCATATCTAGTTCTACATTGGGTACTACATTCTTGAAACAGTTCGTAAAGAATTGAAATGTATTGAACTCTATTTGTCATTCATATTATAAATCAGTGAAAATGATGAAAAAATCTACTTAAATCGTATTCAACTCGTTAACAGTGGGTATTCAAACTCCTATATGTGCCTCATATAGTCAGAATGTCAAATATCTTTATAGAATTAGCAAAGTATTGCGAAGTTGGGCCAACTGAAAGTGGCCAAAATTTTGTTTACCTAGACCGTCACACACTATCTGTTTGAGGACGTATGAAAGACATTTTTTATTGAATGATGAAGTTCAGACCAGGAAACACCTATTTGAGTAAATTTTATCGTCAATGCAATTTTTATCTAACAGAGAAGCGTTGGATGAATCTTGAGTTGATGTCTAGATTGCTGTGTTATCTGCATAGGATCGCTTATCTTCAGTAAGAGCAATACATTAATGATTTGTCCTTCTACTGGGAGATTCGACGTCATCAGTTGTTTACTGATGCTAAGAGCAGCTGAAACAAATGAAGTGATTTCACAGGATCATCAACAGTTATACAGAAGCTGGTATCTGTCAGTAAACTGCAGCTATCTTGATGAGGTTCAATGAGTTGTGAATCTTACCAACTTGAAATGTTAGTTTAGAGTTCAAAGCAATGGTAATCATAGTGTGGTTCATTTCTGCCTCCGGTTGTTGAATATAACTTAAATGTCAACAAAATATCCGTAAATGCATTGGTCACAATAATGTTTTTCTTCTCTACCAACTATTCTGTTATTCACTATTGAATCCAGTAGGTGAATATGTTCCATGAATGACATAATGAATAAGCAGAATTTGGTAACTGACTTATGTTTGTTTCAATATTTTCATTCTTCTACAACTTTTATTGTTAAACATTGAATATGAATTTCACCCCAGAAAACTGTTATCACGTTTAAATTGAGAATCTCACAAAATATGCTAATATCGCTTTTATTATCATTTCAGGTTAACCAAATATGTTCATTGCAAAGAGTCATTCAATGCTGTTTACTATGAACATCATGACAGCGGTAAGTATAATTGAAATAGTTAAATGCTTGTACCGATCATTCAAAGTTGAAGAACAATGCAACAGACGTCAATCAGATATACATTTTTTTTAAATTTACAAGAAATGGTAAAAAAATAATTTGCACCGAACACTGGGTATCACGGTTTTCTACTATTTACCTTGGTGGCCGCACTGCAAACTTCATAGATAAACTTCTACCGGTACCTAGGACTTGACACTTTTATACTGATCAAAGTGTTATGATGCAACTCTGTACATCATTCACACCTACGGGTGGAGAGGGAGGAAGGTTAGTGGTGGCTTGAGTAACTTATTTGTAAGGTCTGTAGCTGCAACACTAACTAGTATAAACTTCAAGGCCTAAGAGAACATGAGTCTTCCAAAGGTTCTCGATATATCTTCCCAGTGACTGCAAGCATGAATGAAGCCCGAGTAGAGTAAAGCTTCATAACAACGAAAACCAAATTCATTCTTTGATATGACGTGTATTTGTGTGATGGAGATGTTTTTGTCACGTCATCTTGTTCAACAATCATTTCATCGCCTAAAAAACATTCGGAATGAAGAGGATAGTTTCAACTCAAATTTGCTACACAACATCTTCAGATGAGAAACACAGTTCAAAGGATAAAAAAGGTTAAGTTATATAACTACTCATACAAGGCAAGAATAACAATGTACGGTGAATCAAATTCATTTCGTATGCTGTAATTCTTTAACAGATGCACTAAATTTGAAAGTTGTGTGCAGTTAGCTGTCAGTGTTCATTTGAAGTGATTTCAATAGCAAAAACAACACCGAAATCAACATTCTTTACATCTAGATATCAATAAATGTGTATAGGAACCAAGATTTTGGATAAAGTTCACGAATTAATCAACAAATCAAGAGAACAAGTAATATAGCGCATTACACTCTTAAATCAATCAGTAAACCCAAAGGAAATAATACAACGTAATAGTTGTAGAGGAGTATGATTAGAGGTTAAGGTGATAGGAAACTTGATAAACGAGGAGAATAACAAAGTTGGTTTGCAAACTGTATAAATTATTGGTAGAACAATAGAAAAAGACATACCACAAACCATGATGAAGATAAGAGGAATTACGGTAATTAACACACGAGTAATGTTTGAGAGGAATATGCAAGACAAAAATATAGAATAAAATAATAAATAAGGGTATAGGAGAAGAACAATTCATCAGGGCGATGCAGGATGAACTACAAACTCCTCTTGCATACATAAGTTTGTTTTCAGTCAACAGATTGCTTCTCCTTCTGAACAACGTAGCAATCTAATATTTCTTCGTCTGTTTATTACCTTAAGCACTTTGTTTGAGTTGATGGTATGACCTGTATCCAGGATGTATTTACCAATAGTACTAATAGGAAGCCTTTAGGCAAATGTTTAGAGATTCTCTCATTAAGGACCCTCTGGATTCTTCAGGTATACATGCTGTTACAATTACAGGTAAATAAATAGGTGCAATTATAGGTAACATGAGGAGACCTTATATATAAATTGGTTTCTTTGAGCATGATCTTCGTGTTATAGACGACTTTCAGTTCCACAGATGTGTATATTTACCGGCATGCATAACAGTCTACTTCGGTGGCAGTCTACGGTTACAGTATCCAAAATCATCGTTGACAGTACTAGCAAACCACTATCAAGACCTAATATGAACGATTTTTGAGTTGAGATTATTAGTTAAAGTTACGAAAGAATCCAGGTAGAGCATTATTATTATTATTATTATTATTATTATTATTACTATTATTATTATTATTATTATTATTATTATTATTATTATCACTAGTCCCTTGAGTTCCTAATGGAACATACGGCTCCACTAGCACGTCTCCATTCTACTCTGCTCTCTGAGATCCTTTGAACCTGGCTCCACCACAGCCCACAACCTCTCATTTCCTCCTCGCACTATCTCCTCCATGTCACTCTCACCTCTGACGTCCAACTCGTCGCTTCCCATGGGGATTACACTCGAGTGGCTGGCCTAACGCGTGATGTCCTCAGTCGGCCTTCTCAGTGTATGCCCAATCCATCTCCACTTTCTTCTACTGCATATTTGTTGGTTGATAGGTTCTTGGTTGGTTCGTTCCCAGAGTTCCTTGTTGCTTATTCTCATTATTCTGGCCATATAATCTGATCTTCAGTAGCGAGCCAGCGTAAGCAGTTGTTGGTGAATGTCTGTAGTTTATTGCAAATCCCTTTCATAACGCGCCAAGTCTTTGGACCATATAGAAGCACTGACTTGACTGGCATTGGTGTTGAAAATCCGCATCTTGTTCCATATGCTGAGTGCAATGGAGTAGATCTCCACACTGGTTTCAGGCTAATGAACGCCTGTCCTGCTCTCTTTCTAATCCTGGTTTCGACATCCTTATCTGTGCTGCCACCTGTAGTTAAATACAGTGCTGCCTAGATAGGCGAAAGAGACCACTTTCTTTAAGTTTCTCCTAATGATGGCGATTGGAGTTTGTTGTTGTTGTTGGAGTTGTTGATGGGGTATCTTCATCAATTCCATCTTCTCTATATTCACTTGAAGTCCCGTCTTCGCCGCCCTGCTCTGTCTCTTCCGTCAACTTGTTAGTTTTCGCCACTACCAGGAATATCATGGGGAATAGTAGGCAACCTCGTTTCACTCCTGTCTTCACTTCTCTCATTTTAAAAGCATTACTGAGCTTCTCATTGTGAATTACTTGGCATGTGGTGTCTTCATATAGTTGTTGAATGAGGCTGATAACGGTTTGCAGTATTCCGTAGTATTGAAGCAGTTTCCAAATTACCTCTCTGTCGACGCTTTCAAAGACCTTCTCAAAGTCGATAAAGTTGAGGTGTAGAGTTGACTGCCATTCTATACTCTGTTCTATGATGATGCATAGAGTGGCGTTGCAATTTGGTCCGCATATGGTTTGTACTTCCTGAAGCCTGCCTGTTCCGGTGGTAGTTTTGAATCCAGTGCATCCTTTAGTCTCTCCAGGATGATGCGACTTAATATTTTGCCTGAGGTGGACAGGAGAGTGATTTCGTGCCAGTTCTTCTAAACACTGAGGTCTCCCTTCATTGGCAGTTTGACAAGGTAACCCTTCTTCCAATCAATAGGCAGGTACCTTCCCATCCTTCTACACCTTCTGCAATAGTGGTGTGGTGTGAGCATGTCCGATGTTGTCTTTGCATCCGTTTTCAGTGCTTCTGGCGGGATCCCATCTGGTCTTGCTGCTTTCCCACATTTCAGTAGCTTTATGATGCTGAGGACTTCTATTTTTGTTGGAGGATATATGTTCACTTGTAGTTCAGCGGCTGTAGGTGGTATTTCTGGATGAAGTGCAGGTGGTGGTCGATTCAAGAGCTTCTCGAAGTGGTCGGCCCATCGTTTCCTTTATTTCTCTTCTTTGATGATTATACGTCCTTCATCACCTTTTATTGGTTTCATCTGTGCTGTGTTGATCTCTTCCCAGATAGCAACCTGGTTATTTGATACAATGTTGTCAGATCTCTGTCTCTCCCACCTGCAGCCTGTCTGTTCTGCTTCACTCGCCAGTGTTTCGTAGAAGTGTATTTTGTCTTTCCGTGCACTCTTCTTCACTTTTTTGTCCACTGCAGTGTTTTATACATTGTTCTCAGTTCCTCTTCTCGTTGTGCATCCTTGCACTGGTTCATCTTCTGCTTCACCATCCTCCTCTCCCTCCTCTATCAGCTCCCATGTATCCATCAACATCCATTCCTTATCTTCTTTCTTCTTCCTCCCTATTACAGCTGTGCAGGTTTCTTTCCACATAGCTTTCAAAGACTTTCAGTGTTCTTCCACATAGGTTTCTTCAGGGATTTTCCTCCATATCTACCATTTTGTCTTGATGACTGGCTGCCGTGAAGATTTCCTTTGTAGTTTCATCCTTCAGTTTCCGAGTGTTGTACTTGAACTGCGGTCTATCACCAACTTCCTTGAAGGCTTTTAACTTGATTTCGAAGGTAGGTTCCTTGCACTAGATAGTGAGTGGTGTGAACCTACACCTGCTCCTCATCTTGACCGTGTGTCAAGTAGACTGCGTCTCCACTTTCTTGAGATTGAGATAAAGTCGATCTGATTTTTAGTGTAGTGTGTCCATCTGGTGAAATCCATGTCACTCACTTTGTGGATATCCTTGTGCTTGAACACACTGCCTGACTCCAATCACCAGATCGTTGAATGCACAGAACTCTGCAAACAATTCTTCATTCTCGTTCATCACCTCACTGAGTGCTTCTCGACCCATGGTCAGTTCTCTCCCTGTGTTGTCCCCTCCCAGTTTGGCATTCATGTCACCCGACCCATTAGAATTTTGATATCGTCAACTGAGGTCTTGTCCAGTGTTGATTGAAGTTGTCTGTAGAATTCCTCCTCCTTCTCTTCACATGCATTATTTGTAGGTGCATAGCACAGCATTGTGTGATTGTGACCTTCCTTCCTTTTGAGTTGAATCTTGCTGTCATGATCCTGCATGAGGAGATTGCTTCCCACTGCATGAGAGCCTTCGATGCTGTTAAGGACATCGTGATGGCCACTCCATAACTCAGTGTGCTCGTGGTTGTCATCTGGGTTACAGTATCGGAGTAGATTATTGATTCTCCAGTTGACAGTTTGGAGAGTCCACTCCCATTCCATCTGCTTTCACGAATTCCAAGCACTTCAATGTGATACCTCTTCATCTCGTTTGCAATCTGAGCTGCCCTGCTGGGTTCAAACATGGTGTGGACATTCCATGTCCCCACGTTTACTTTCGCTTTGATCGAGAGAAGGGGAGACACATCGGCCAATTGGCTTCCCGAAGGCTTTCACCAACTGGCGTCATTTCTTCTCCCCGATTCCAGCGAGGAATAATTTTGTTATTTTTTTTATATTTCGTTTGTGCTGTGAAGTTTGTTTAGCGGTTAGATTTGTTTTACGGGTAGGGTTGGTAGGCGTATGCCCAACCTTCCCTCTTTGTGTGGGCTTTTGATCGGCTAGTAACTAGTGTACTAGTTAACTAGGCGAGGTTCCAAATGGCATGGTAGTAGTGATTAACATAGGCTTGAATCATTAAGGCAACACCAAACTCCTTAGGGTTTCTCATATGCTTTGATGATGAGTACTAAGAGGCAATGAAACAAGAAGGTCAATGCTGATGATTAGGGGTGATAAACCTAAGTACATACAGTATTTATTGTACAATGAATTTTATTCGAATTTCCTTTTATAATCTACTTCCTAACATAAAGTATTCATTATTAGATTACTAGCCTACTAATAGCAGGTGGTGGTGGTGCATTTATGTTATCAGAAGAAATGAATTTATTACTTTTGCGTAAAACAATAAAAATATTACACGAACATGTTAATCCAAGGTATCCAAATTATGGTAACGGTGTAGGAAAGTTAATTATGGCGCTAACAGGTTAGTTTCTTGTGATTTTTGTAAATCCTGTGTCTAAGTTTCTCATAATCAATGCAAGACAGACTAAACATGAATCACTTCAGCTTATTCCATCATTTACAACTAAGGTAAACGAATATTTTAATGAAGTCATGTAAATATATAATCATTCAATGATAGACCAATATGTCTTAATCGTTTCTTACGGATGATAAGTTGTAAGCTCAGTGACTTACTGTCTGTGATAACACAGTTGGATGAAGCATCTATAAATTTCTGAAGAAAGAATAAGACTCATTAGCAATGCTTATTCACCTTGTCGGTTAGTAGCACTAAGTACTGCAGCTTTCTGTCTTCCTGTAAGGTTTCTTATCAATTGCTTTCTGCAATTCAATATCATCTTAACAGCCTGACTTAACAAAGATTCTTCTACTTTTTTCTTAAGGTTCATTTTTATGGGCCATTTACATATAGCTTCAAAATATGTTCTTAGTGAAAATATAGAATACACTGGAGATCAATAGAATGCAACATCAACAATTCCATGAAGATATAATTCTTTCAGAAATGGGATGTGGCATTTTAAAGTCAGGTTTAACGATTTCACAGTATATCCTCTCTTTAGCCATATGCATTAGGTACTTTGAAAATGCTATTTATGTAAAGATGTATAGTCGAAATTCCTCAAAACTGAAAATTATGAGCATTTTACAAAATAAAGTTAAAACATTACTTTTCTTATTACTTACTATCTATTGATATGCTTGTAATTCTCCGTTGTTTTAATGAATCGAATTTTTCAATCTCTTTTGGCATATGGGAGCTTATGTGGATACCTTGATGTTGCTTGAATATTAATTTCGGTAATTTACTTGGTTGTTTTTAGTAGAGGGATCCCAAATGGGACCAGTCTGAAATATGACGAAACGCATGACCTGAATGTTGAGGCAATCCAGATGTGTCTAGAATCAGATGAAGATGTGACCTAGCTTTATGAATTCTTGTTACTTCATGTAGACGGGGAATTGTCGAACCTATTGGTTTGATGCATTCGTAGAAATCTTTGCATCAAACCGACAGGTTCGACAATTCCACGTTTGCATAGAGTAACAAGAATTCATAAAGCTAGGTCACATCTTCATCTGATTCTAGACACGTCTGAATCACCTCAGCATCCAATTTCAAAATGGTTAACTGAAATCCACGGGCCTGTGTATGGCTGTTAACTCTCTGTGGTATTTTTAAATTTTGTTGACTACATAAGAGACATGAACGTATTTGACAAGTTTAATTTATTGCTCATATCAATATTCAACCAAGAAATTACTGCGGAATTATACAACAACTTCCGCTGATTTCTAAGTTATGACCACGGTTCAAAATTTTCATTCCACCTTCAATCATCACCCGGTATAAATACTAGTCTACCAAACTACAGCTGTCAGATGGTCAATATGCTGCTCTCCCTCTCGAATTCAATTCGATTTAGATTAAGATGAGAAGTCCTGACTAGGCAACCAATGTGAATACGATCAAGCGATAGTAAGGCGTCGGCAATTCGCATAGTAGTCCGGCTAAAACCCTTGATGATTGAAGTGAAATTAAAAAAATCTTTTCAGCAGTCAGATGTTGTGGGCCATTTGGTAGAGAATCAAGCCGGAAACCCGGTAATCGTTGATTCGAATCCGACGGTGGTCCAAATTTCCATTTAATCTACATTCATCACTTAGCATAGACATCTATATTGAAGAAACAGAAGACAAACGCTTCAACGGAATGTCTAAAGCAATTGGAATAGTACTCGTTACACATGGTACACCTTGCACTAACTCAGTCATTTGCAAATGTCTTCGTTTCCTCCTCCGTTCTTCTCTGTTGATTTGCTCTTGACCTGCTCTTCACAGACTCTTATAAGCACCATCTACAATGATACGCCTGGGTTATCCCTTGAGTTACTCTTGGCAGAAACCTTACCCATTGCCGATAATTCCCTATGATTCCTGCCACCCTCTCGATATATACTACTTATGTCCGTTGTTATCAGCAACGCACACTACTACATGACAATCAGAATATCAAGTTGTTATTCATCGTAGACTGACATCAGTTGGAGGAACAAAGGGAACCTGGGAGCAATGGATAGCTGTTTCGTCCTAGTATGGGACTCCTCAGTAGTGTGCACCCATGATGGTAACGCGCTGGCCGCAGAACCTGAAGGTCATGGGTTCGATCCCTGCTGGTGTGGGGTCGTGGGTGCGCACTACTGAGGAGTCCCATACTAGGACGAAACAGCTGTCCAGTGCTCCCAGGTTTCCTTTCTTCCTCCAGCTCATGTCAGTCTAAGATGAATAACAACTTGAAATATTTCCAAATCTCCACAACTCCCTGAAAATTCAATTCAACTGGTGCTCATTGGTGACTAGCTTCGAGAAGTATTCCCCAAGTTGCAATGAGAAGTCGTGACCGGTGGAGTCAAAGCCTGATGGTGGTGAGGACAGATACTCAACGATGTCATTGGGTGGTGGTTGCACTATATCGTGAGCTAACGGAAGTTGGAAATATGGAGCATTGGATTGTGACCCAGTGGCTCAATGGTAAGACGCTGGCCGTGGAAGCTGAAGGTCGCGGGTTCGGTCCCTGGCGGGGTGGTGGGTGCGCATTGCTGAGGAGTCCCATACTAGAACGAAACAGCTGTCCAATCCTCCCCGGTTTCTTCTGTCCCTCCAACTCATGTCAGTCTACGATGAATAACAACTTGAAATATTTTCAAATCTCCACAACTCCCTCAAAAACCAAATTACCAGTTTAATTACTGGTTTGTAACCAAAATCACATTAACATTCTTTCATTGAAAAACAAATATTCTTAAGCAATTCTATATTGTACAATTAAAGTTCTATATACTTTACTTCTACATGTGGTGATGCGTTTTCTTTTTTCTTCTACAGAGAAATTTAGTATTGTGATCTTCACATTTGGTTTCGTGAATTTTCTTGTTTGTTTAGTTGGATTATTTGCTGTGTGTAACCAAAAATCGACTGTATTAACTGTGGTAAGAGTTGTAGAACTATTTACGTGAACACTTTTTTTTCTTCAAAGATTTATTCAATGAAATATTGCTAACTGTTTCAAGTGTAGCTTGACCATTGCTCTTCAGTTGACAATCACTTTCTTTTTGGAAAAAAATATAAAAATATGTTTTCTAAATATCTTACAGTTTGTTGAATGTGTATCTGAGATAACGCTTACGACACTAAGTGGTGATTGAAGGCGAAACAAGAACCTGAGCAACGGTAGAAGTCAAACCAGCGGGATCCGGGGTTACTGGCATCGAACGAGTAACCCAGAGGCCATTGGTTCGAATTATGACAAGAACCATATCTCTTAACCTTCATTCATCATCTAGTAACAATTATAACTGTCCGTCTAACCTGAATATAAGAACAGTCATGTATTGCAAGAGGATTTCATGAAAAAATACTGCGCTAATATGTTAGCATGGGGAAAAACTTATTCGTTTTTGAATCCCACTTATGACTACGAATCTAGAGCCTGGTCCAATCTCTAAGTCTTAAAGACTGACAGTAATCTGCTGGGAACCTAAAATTCATATCTCATAAACAACAGTAGTCTTCAATAAGGCTTAACCACGAAGTATGTGAACCTCTCCCGGTAATTTGGCAACTGCTCCAACACTCTGGAATACCACAAACCTTTATCAACTTCATTCAACAACTGTATGAAGACGCCACATGTCAAGTAATTCAAAATAGGAAGCTCAGTGACACCTTTGAAGTGAGGTGAAGACAGGGGTAAAACAAGGCTATCTACTATCAACGATCATCTTCCTGATTGTGGTCGACTGAACTGGATCATCCAACTAACTGTGAGGAGAGAGAAGAGGGGATACGCTGGCTGGACCGGGGAAAACATCCTTTAAGATTTGGATTTCACCGATGACTTGTGTCTAATGTCACACAGACTCGATGATTTACAGGCGAAAACTAACAAGTTGACAGAAGAGGTGAGGTGAGGTGAGGCGAGGTGAGGCAGTGAAGATGGGACTTTAAGTGAATGTAGAGAAGACACAGGTGATGAAGATACCCAACCCACGCCACCACCACCGACACCGACAAGCTCCAGTCACTATCAGCCGGAGAAACTTAAAGGAAGTTATCTCTTTCACTTATCTGAGCAGCACTGTTCCAACTACAGGCGGCATGGACGAGGACGTCAAAAGCAGGATCGGAAAAGCAAGACAGGCGTTTATTAACCTGAAACCAAAGTGAAGGTGTTCTACACTCAGTATAAAGTGTGAACAAGATGCCAGTCAAGTCAGTGCTTCTGTGTGGTTGTTCAGACACTTGGCGCTTTACGAAAAGCATTTCCAACAAACTGCAGACACTTATCAACAAGTGGCTCGTTACTGAAGTCCAGATGGTCAGAAAAAATAAGCTACAAGGAACTCTGGCTGTTTGGCAACGAACCAACCAGGAACCTATCACTCAACCAATATGTAGAAGAAGGAAGTGGAGATGGATTGTGCATGCACTATGAGGGCCGACTGGGGACATCACATACCAGGCCAGGTCGTCGAGTAGAACCTAGATGGGAAACGATAAGTTGGTTGTCCTAGGGGAAGATGACGTGGAGGAGATGGTGTGGGGAAGAAATGACAGCCTGTGGGCAGTCGCAGTGCCAGGTTCAAAAGATTGCAGAGAACAGAGTTAAGTGGAGACGTGCTACTGAAGCCGTATGTTCCACTTGGAACCCAAGGGACAAACAATAATAATAAAATCGAAGTAACTGAATTCAGTCTTGCAGTGTCAAATTCCTTATCTGGGTTACCAAACCACAAAAAATATGCCAAACGCTCAGACTAGGAAAGATAGTGAAATGTGAAATTTTTGAGCAGTTCGAGGAATAAATGATTATTTTATAGGGTCACAAATGGCATCCAAAATATTGAATAGCAGATGGGTTGCACTTTGTATCCTGAAGTAATCCCTTCAAGGAGTTTCTATGACTGATATTTGTTAGAAAAAACATACATAAAAGTAAAATTTATGACTAAAACCTAACTGGGTAGGCTTTATTCTCCAAATATTATAACAAAAATAATATAAAAATAACTTTTTGAATCGGTAAATTTACATGAGCGCGTAACAGAGTTCATCCAGAAAATCACAATATTCTCCATTTGATCAGCTGATAATCCAGGTTCAAACTGAAATATGTCTTGTAGTGGGATTCAAACTACAACCCTTTGGTATTCTACCCATAGAAGTAAAAGACCCATGTGAAGCCAGATTTCATTCTGACTTTATTCCCCAAGAATTTTACGTAGTTTTAATGTGAACGTCTAATACTAATAAGTGAAGAGAAGGACCTGAAAGGTCATTTACCTGGAATTCACTGGTAAAGATCTTGTTACCACCTAGATTTCTATTTCCGTCTCAATTGTTATTCAGTTACACTTGAACCGGTCAGGCTAATCGCAGCTATTTCAAATAGCCTTATCCTCAGTCCATTTACCTTCTTGTTCATCTACTAGAACCCAATCTGTGGCTATGCCTTTTCTTAACGAAAATTGAAACCTTATTCAGTTGGAGTTAGCAGTTACCTTAAACAACAAAACTTATGAACCGTTTCTAAAAAACTGAACACTTTGAATCTTCTAATGACAAAGACTTTCATATCCACATAATTTTGTTATCCATTCCCGATTCAGAAAACAGGCTATAAAGTAATTTGTAGAGAAGCAAATGATATTTTTTCGCTACTGGAGTGTAAAATCCGAGAAACTGCTGAAGTTTATAGAGAACGGCCACCTCACCTAATCAATCATCTAGTATCAACGATACATAACATATATTAGAGATAAAGTCATACTTTTAAGAGTCAAAGGTAACATCCTTTGGTAAGGATGAACTGCTAGATCCCATGATTATTGTTTAATCTTCTCATCATCCAAGTGCATTGAAGTAAATCAGTCAGTAAAGCCTTATTCCGTTTTTATTATTCTTTTATCTTCATTGTTAGTATCAAATACTCCTGGGACTTATTCTTATTGGACATTTAACCCTACTGATTGGATATTATTATAACAAGCAAAATGTGAGTTGAGGTTGATAAATGTGAAGTTTCAGTTTCATTACGGTTTTATACTGTGTAAAGAAATTTCTCCAACATCATTATCTAATCGTAAAAGTATTGATGAGATATACATGTTTCATTATTGTTAATGTAAATATAAAGATCTATACACATAGAATATTTTCTGCTGCCAATTGTACACTTGCATTCTTCTATCAGAAACGTATTCCTCAGTACTTAAAGAACAGGCTAAAGCATTGGGTCACATCAGTGTTTGTATATTATCTTGCTTAATCCTGTATTGCTAAGTATATTGGGTCGCAACATGCATCAAATTGTGAAACGCTTATATGAACGCTATTCAGCCTTGGTAACAGAGAAAAAAAGGAAATTCATCTTCAGTTTTATAACAGAACACTTAGTAAACTTGGAAAATGTGCCTTTGTAAAAACTTCAACTACGTCACACGAAAAGAGTTACATCTAGGAATAACTGAAACGTCAACGATAAAGAGGTTTACAACATCACTGTACATTCAAAAGAAGTATGTAGAGCCTCTTTTTTTGCCATAAAACTTAATCATATGGTTTTGAACACTCCAGATAGCTCTTCTCTCGTGTCATTTGTCTATTTCCCCATTCTGAATGCTTACATATACATATGTATGTATACATTATATAATTTCTCTGAGAGTCACCTTTATCAGTCTTTGTACGGAAGACTGATAAAGGTGATTCTCATAATCCAATCCTCAAGCAGAGACTTAACGCTTCTGTTAGAAGGACTTACTATGCAGCCAGTATTCGATTGGTAGAAACCACCATGCCCATATATTTCTCTAAATCCCCATAGCATGTGAACGACAATGTCACATCCTGTTGTATCCACCAATTCAAATGTGCATATGGTGACACATACATAGAGAGGACTCATAGATCCATGCAATTAAGGACCTCGGAACATACTTCAAAGTGGCTTCACAAGCAAATTAAATCACCTGAGCCCATAAACTTTGGTAGCAGACGTCCAAGTTCCTTCGATCGCGAAACATATAGTTGAGATAGGTCACAGGATTGATGTAGCTACTTCCTTTACACCTATTTACAAAACGGGTTTGAGACGGATCCTCAAATCTGTTAAAGACTCAGCTATTAGTAGGTTCAAACCACCTTTGTTGTCACATTAAATTTCCCTTGATGAATTCAATTATGAAAACCAAGTTCGATGTACTATTATTTTTCGCTTTATTGATTTTCATTGCTATTCCGCCTTTAATTCAGCCTTCCTACTTGACCTCTTTTCATAATCTCACCCCTTATCTTCATGAACTTTCATATAAATGCATATGATAAGTAAGTGCGCATGATGACACAGTTGGAAATGTGTTGATCAAAATACATTATACGGTTTCGACAATTTACGTCTTCTTATTGTTTCGTCAAAGTTTTAAGTTGATTCACTTAATTTAACTTGTTTAGATATACAATAAAATCATCATTTCCAAGCATTTTTGACAGTTTTATCGCAAGTTGCGCACTGATGATCAACCCCTGTACATAATTCACTTCTACAAGAGGTCGTTAGTGCTCTGAATAGCTCAGTGGTTTGGTTTCTGACTTCAGCGCTGTATGAAACGAAATGGAATCATCGAGAGAAGATATGCTTCTTTATAGTTGCCAGGACACCTTACTCATGAGTGTCAACAAGTACCAAACCTTAGTCAGACGTGGCTCCCTGCCGTTAGACTCTCACCATCTAACACCCAGAGACATTTCAGACTATTGTTAAGTGCTTGTTCAACATTCTTTTGAATTTATAGTTAGATGGACAAAATTAAAGTTCAAATGTTTACGTTTGCAGTCATCCAGTCTTGCATTTTATTGAATAATCCTGCTAAACTGTAGTACATCAATCTTGTGGAGAAAAGAAAACTGTTTGACGACTGTTTTTCAGAAGAACGGCTATCCACACAAATTCATTTAAAGATAATTGCATAATTCGTCGTCAACGAAGTAGTCAACCTCGTAAACTAACAAATGGATTTTCTTGCTCTAAATAAAGAACGTCTCCGAGATCAAGAATCACTGTAGCTCATAAGCCCACAAAATCTCTTCAAATTCTGTCATACAAGCCGAAAGATTCAGTAGCAAAGGAAGAAAAATGAAATGTTACCTACAAAATAAACTGAAGAGACTCGGAAGACAACTACATCTAACAGAGTGGTCGCCATCCTCGTATCCTCTACATAAACATCAACTAGCAGTCAGACTTCATGACATATCTTCGCTCAAATCCATGGATATGGACAGCTGTGAACATGAATTTAACTGGGAAAATATGAAATTTCTGGATAGGTGAAATACAAAGAATACCAGAGAATTGTAGAAGCATGACATTAAAATCAGCCAACAACAGACATATTGACATTGACTCGACCTACCAACCAATGAGAAACAGCAAGAAGGTCAAAGCTGACATCAGTAGGACAACCAATGGAAATAAATATGAAGACAATGACAAGACTTTGGAAGAAACAACGAATCACACACAAAACCATCAGGACAAGCTAATAATCCACTTGTGGGGAAAATATCATAACTCACTTCTTACTGAAGTTTATAGAGCTGGTTATGTTGTCTAGAATGACAAAACCCTGATGGTCGTGAGGACAGTTACTCAACGATGACACTGGGTGGCGGTTGCGCTATTTCGTGAGCTAATAGAAGTTGGAAATGTAGATCATTGGATTCCGACCCAGTGACTCAATAATCACGTGCTGGCCACGGAAGCTGAACGTCATGTCCTTTGTTCCTCCAGCTGATATCAGTGTACGATGAGTAACAACTTGAAATCTTTTCAAATCCCCACAACTCCCTCAAAATTCAATAAAAACTTTAGTTTGTCTATGAAGATAAACACTATTTTGAGAGAATTCCCAGTTAGAAGTAATTAATTATATATTAGGTTGTTTGTTTTAAATGATACACAGTATTGTAGTATCATTTGCTCAATGATGTTTCGAGCAGAAGTTATTGCTCATAATCATATAGAAGGAATGATACAACTTTCAGGTTTTATTTTCATAGTCCAAATTAGCAGTTTTATTCAACATATTGAGCGACTACTATTCAATACTACTGACTTGTTTCACCCAAAATAGAACAAAACGGTTGTCTAGTTTTCACAGATTTCCAACAATCCTGTAACTAATGTCACTTAGGGACAAAAACTACTTTGTATATCTTTTTGTTAATAATGTTCGACTTTTCAATAATCCTTGCATTCATTCAGTGATTTGACATCAGTTAAAGAAGTTCAACTTATTCGAAACTAGATTATTAATTATAACTAAGTGAGGTATGTTGACACAGTTATCGAACTGATTAAGCAAATTAAAATTCCAATCAGTCAAGGATTCCTACCGTGTTTATTATACAGTTTTCTGGCAGATGTTTCATAGTTAAATGCAATAAACATTTCTCTGGACTAAAATATGCAACTGGTTAAGATATCTAGGTGAAGAAAGGTATCTACCGTCGTTGCTGCTGCTGCTCTTACGACTAATACTAAGTTTGGAAACGTCACCCCTTTTATGAGCTTGTTTACTGTTATTATGACTGTTTAATACAAGTTGATGCATGGAAGTGGAATTGAAATGTGGGTTAAAACAAAATTTGACCTAGTTGCCTCAAAGTTACCAGCCCGGTGCTTAGCTGTGAAATCCAACTGTACACTAGATTTTAATTTTACTTCAGTCACCAGGTGTTTTGTCCATCTCTCATGTGAACTCATGATATGTTACTATTCGTTCATCGTAAGGTCTTATAGTCCTATTCTAAATAGAGCTGAATTGCTGAGGGATAGAATTATATTGATTATCAATGTAATCATCTGTGATAGCCATGTTTTTATCTCTGCTATTGTAATAAAAGCTTTTTTTCTCTCCCAATGGACTTTCTAATATAAAGTAGATCATCTGTGAACTGTAGGTGAAGTCATCTGGAAAAACTGATAAATTACCGCAAAATTTTGTTTTTTAAGCTTTTCTTTTCTGTTTTCACCAGTTACCTTTTCTAGTCGTAATCATAATCTCATTGGAGTTTGTTTGTTGTTGGCTAGCAGACGAATCTAGGATGCGCGTTTCATTCTATTTGGATGTAACTGCACCCCACCGAGAATTGAACCAAACGTCGAACGTTTCAGATGCCAGAGCGTTATTCACTAGGCCACTGAATACCCCATTGCTAGCCACCAACAAGAAAGTACAACACAATTAATGATCAGGTAATATCGAGGCATTCAAAATAGGGTCGATATGCTAACGGTGTTTAATCAGTTTGATCCAAATAGGAATAGTAAGTTACATGTTTCAATAAATAATGATAACGTAATCACTATCATCATCATCATCATCATCATTACATTTTTTTTGAAACTTTCAGTTCAAGGACCATCTGGGTAGCACAGTATCAAGCTATATGATAGACTATATATCATTAAGAAGTGGGACGTCAGCAAGCATCCTTGCTGGAATCATAATGGCTATGGTAGGTACATTGTGTTCACTACTATCATGTTACTATTTACAGCGTACTAATCTTAGAATATGTTAAAAATTTTATCCAAAATGGGAATAAAGCTGACACTTTAGAACCAGTGAATGCTAACATATCTCTGATTTTGAAATTAAGTTAACTAAACCATGTTCAATATGGTTTGTTTTTTTGATATAAACATTCTAAAATGATGAATGAATACTCAACTATTTGATTAGTAAATCGAATGAATTTATAATAGTTTTCGTTAAAACTGATACCATAGAACAGTTTCAGTATAACCTAAAATGACCAATCTCAGTCAATCTCAGCCAATCAAATTGATTGTAAAGGTTGAGACGTTTGATTAGATTCTTAGAAAAATTATCTTCAAAAGTACTGAGTAACAAGTGAATACTGGATTTTAATTCAGCTAGTTGAATTAAATAGTTTCAGAGTAGCTTTCATCAATGATAGATATAATCTGAAAAAATATTAAAAACTCTTAGAAGCTCACAGCTGAGGAGTTCCCCCTATGACGAAATCTACTTCTAATACTATACGATTTTCAATAGTTTTTCAGTTGGTCAGTTTTAAACAGAAACTATCTTAAGAAGACATCCTTTATGAATCAGGAAACAAATTATTTATAGTATGGTAAGCTAAATACTTCCATATATTTTTCGAGTAACTGAAAACCCCTATTAATTTTCATGTCAACCAAAATATTATTATTAATGATGGGCAGTGGCTAGCAGTGGAATCCAGGATGCGCATTTCATCCTATTCGGGACTCGTCAGCGGGATGGACCTGCTTCCCAGTGAGTGATACCGTTCCCACCGGGACTCGGACCCGGGAGCGATCGCTTCAAACACCACCGAGCCACGATAGTCACTTCTTGTGCGATGGGTATAGGTTGAGTGTTATTGCTTGTATTACACCGTCGTTGATTGGACCGAATCGATCAGTCTCTGTTGGCATATGGGCTCCTATGCAGATGCCTCGAGTCCCGGTGGGAACAACATCACTCACTGGGAAGCAGGTTTATCCAGCTGATGAGTCCCAAATAGGACGAAATGCGCATCCTAGATCCAATTGATAGCCACTACCCATCATTACTAAACATAGTTAAAAGATAGACAATATTGAGGCATTCACATAGGAGCCCATATGCTAACAGAGACTGATCAATTCGGTCCAATCAACGACGGTGTAATACAAGCAATAACACTAAAAATATTATTATTACTAGAAATGAATTAGTCACTACTTATAACACTTTTACTTTGTTTGTACTAAAAATCTTAGAACAAAAGAATGAAGATGTATTTTCTTGAAACAAAAATAATACCTCATCGAAAACTTGAGTTGTTTTGCAACTATTGAAGTAATTCGAATACTTATAGTGTTCTTTTGTACACTAAGAACGATGCTTTGGTGGTATAGAGCTAGTAACTTCTTATCATGTCAATTAGTTAATACTCCCAATAGAACTATCAATAAGTATTTAAAACGGTATCATAAAGTGTGAGTTTTCACTTCTAAGTGAGCATCATCTCTTCTCTTGTATGATATACATTCTTATATCAACTAGTTATTGCGAAAAATGGAACATGTACGGTTTTTCTGCATCCACTTCGAGGAAACAGAGTAATATATGTATGGACAAATCTTCCACGTTTTGTGTACTAAATTGAGATGACATGACATGAACGCAATGCGAGTGTAAGTCATTTGGACGATTTTATGCTTACCTTCAAAAAAGAAGAATATAATGTACTTGATTATTATTATCTTTCTATTGGGTTCATAGTGGAATATATGGATTCAGTAGCACGCCTCCATTCCACTCTGTCCTCTACAGTCTTTTCAACACTGCTCAATCACTGCACACTAGCTTTCATTTCGCCCTCACATCATCTCCTCCATGTCACCCTCACCTCAAACAACCAACTCGTCATTTCCTCTTCGGATTACACTAGACGGCCTCAACTGACACGTGATGTCAACAGTCGGTCTTCTCAGTATATACCCAATCCAATCTATCTCCACTTTCTTCCACCGCATATTTGTTCGGTTCGTTGACAGCCCACACTCTCTCCCCCTTGCTCTTTCTTTCTCGCCTTCTCATCTGATCTTCAGTATAGAGTGAGCGTAGACAGCAGCTGTTGATGTATGTCTGTAGTTTGTTGGAAGTGCTTTTCGTGATGCACCAAGCCTCTCAACCATCACATAGCAGCACTGAGTTGACTGGTGTTGGTGTTGACAATCCGCATCTTGTTCACACATTATGCTGAGTATAGTGCAGTAGATCTGCACACTGACTTCATATCAATGAAAGGAGGCCTATGTTGCTGTCTTTCTGATGCTGGCTTTCACATCCTCATCTGTACCCGTTTCACCCGTAGTTGAAACGATGCTGCCTAAGGAGGTAGGCAGGCAGGTAGGTAGTTGGGTAAGTAGGTAGGTAGGTAGGTAGGTGAAAGAGACTATTTCCTTCACGTTTCTCCCCTCCATCGTGATTGGTGATTGATGCTTCTTGTTGTTATTGCTTGTGTTGATGTTGTTGTTGTTGGTTGGGTATCTTCATCATCTCCATCCTCTCTACACTCACTTGAAATCCTGTTTTCGCTGCTCTGCCTCTTCTGTCAACTTGTTAGTTTTCGCCAGTAGATCTTCGAGTTTGTGCGACATTCGACGTTAGGCATAAATCATCATCGCTGTTGAAATCGAAATCTTCTAGTGTCTTTTCATCGGTCCAGCCAGCGTATCTCCCTCTTCTCGCTCCTCACTGTTTGTTGCATGATCCAGTTCACCACAATCAAGAGGACCATCGGTGATAGCATGAATCTTTGTGTTGATATTCAGATTCAGTTATTTTACTGTATTTCAATCTAGATTTTATGCAAATGTTCTGAGAAATAGTATTAGCTTTGCAGGCTACTGAAGTTCAGTCATTCTCTATTCAATGAACCAAGAATAATATATCTTACCTTTCATCATTTCTGACTGCATAGCTTTCAGTATCTTAAAATGATGATGAGTTTCTGTAGCCCAGGATGATTACTTCAGTGGTATTTTTGTTCTCTGAGCTGAATGGTTTAACTGTTTAGCTTTCATTTTCACTTTAAACAACAACAACAAGTGGTTTAGTAACTTGTTCTGTTGATTATGTACGTTGTTGGTTGTTTCCTTTAATAATCTTCTCATCTTTCAAGTTCCTGCTCATCATGGACTGACATTGGTTAGAGGAATACTAGAAATCTGGGAGGACCGGACAGCTTTTTCGTCCTAGTATGGGACTGTTCAGTAGTGCGCACCCATGACCCCACCGTGGATCGAACCCGTTATGTTCCGGTTCCATGGCCAGCACCTTACCATTGCGCCACTGGATTAAAGTTCAGTGGTCTGTGTTTCCAAATCCTGTCAGTTCATAATATAGCGCAACCATAATCTAGTGTCATCGTCTAGTATCTGTCCTCACGACCACCGGATTTGCCCCTCACTGGAACTTCAGGAATCAACTCTCGAAGCTAGTCACCAATGAGCACTAGTTCAATTGAATTTGGGGTTAATGGGGATTCAGAGATTTTCCAAATTGGTATTCGACACCTCAACTCCTCCAACTGATGTCAGTTCATGATGAATATCAACTCGAAAAATCTCTACATCCTCAAAACCCCTAAATTCAATTTTGCCATTATCTGAACACGCATTTCAATTGACTCGTAGTCCTACTGAGCTAAACGTCTACCTACCTGCTGTTCAGAAATGTTATGCGAATGAGTGAAGACACTGTAATACGTAAGCCTCATGAAGAAAAGAAAAATGTCTGACAACTGTGCTTTAGAAGTGTATCTGTCCAAGTAATTTTACCTGTCTTCACTGAAAGTATGCTAGACATATGTATATGATGCATTTCTCATGTTTAAATCCGAACATATCCATAGCTTCTTGAGACAAATAAGCACAGTGGTAGATAGGATCAAAAACTTACTTTCGAGTTAGAAGATACTTCAGGAGAACTTAATACGTTGAATTTTAAAATAAAACAGAGATAAGATGGGATACACGTGTCTACCAAAAACCATCACATTCCAATAGATGTCTGAACGTTAAGTCATATCACCCTACATGAGCAGAAGTAGGCTCAGTTGAATATTTAAACAAATAAGCCAAAAGTTCCCCCACTAAGTGAACAAGTTTAAATGACGAAATGAAATATATAACAGAAGGTTTACTACTCCCCCTGATTTAATTCAGAAATACATTATTATTATTATTATTATTATTATTATTATTATTATCATTATTACTATTAGTCCCTTGGGTTCCTAATGGAACATACGGCTTCACTAGCACATCTCCATTCCACTCTGCTCTCTGAAATCTTTTCAACCTGGCTACACCACAGCCCACAACCTCTCATTTCCTCCTCGCACGATCTCCTCCATGTCACCCTCACCTCGGACACCCAACTCGTCGCTTCCCATGGGGATTACACTCGAGTGTCTGGCCTGACGCGTGATGTCCCCAGTCGGCCTTCTCAGTGTATGCCCAATCCATCTCCACTTTCTTCTACTGCATATTTGTTGGGTGATAGGTTCTTGCTTCGTTGGTTCGTTCCCAGAGTTCCTTGTTGCTTATTCTTACCATTCTGGCCATCTCATCTGATCTTCAGTAGCGAGCCAGTGTAAGCAGTTGTTGATGAATACCTGTAGTTTATTGCAAATCCCTTTCATAACGCATCGAGTCTCTGAACCATACAGAAGCACTGACTTGACTGGCATTGGTGTTGAAAATCCGGATGTTGTTCCACATGCTGAGTGCAGTGGAGTAGATCTCCACACTGGTTTCAGGTTAATGAACGCCTGTCTTGCTCTCTTTCCGATCCTGGCTGACTTTGACATCCTCGTCTGTGCCTGTGCCACCTGTAGTTGAAACAGTGCTTCCTAGATGGGTGAAGGAGGTTACTTCCTTTAAGTTTCTCCCGTTGATGGTGACTGGAGTTTGTTGTTGTTGGTGGTGCGGTATCTTCATCACCTCTGTCTTCTTTATATCACTTGAAGTCCCAGAAATACATAATGACCAATAGAAAAGGCAATGAAGTAGTGTGAAGGATGATTTCAACAGGCTTAGGCAGGAATTTAAGGCCTCAATAGTGCTGAAGCATAAGGAAGAGACATAAGTAACCCTATGTAGGATTCTTAACAGGAGTGGAATTAAGGTAGCAGTCCAACTTTATTTGGCCCCATCTGTTGTTAATATCAGAGATCTATTGTTCTTTTTGCTGTTTCACTTTCTGTCAAGTCCCTTGAGTGATTAGCAGCCAATAGAATTCTCATGATTCGAAGTTTTTAATATATGAGTCATTATTGTTATTTATTATTACAGTAGGGTATATAAAAAATCTTTAAATTTGTATGTTACTTATGAATCTGGTTGTTTATCTAAGAATCAACTTATCATTTTTGGCTAGTGACAAAATTTATAAACTGTTTCCTTAAACTGTGTAATACGAGGTAAAGTGATTAGGAGAATATTCTTCATTTATTGTAAGACAATCTGATGTACATAGAAAAATGAACTGAAGTAACCAATATTGAATGTTGAACTTTTTCTGGTAGTCTAAGAAATTTAATGTACTCTGAAAGTAATTAAATAATAGGATAAATTATATTAACATTTCATATGCTTTCTTTTTACTAAATTTCAAGTTAAATTGTTGTGGATTTGATGATTATCGATACTACTGGGAAACCCCAAATTTTAATCCTATGGAAACTTATGATGATCTAATCTACAAGGGTAAGAATAACTTGAGAAATTAAACTAATTTGAAACATTTTTCTATTTACATTAAAAGTCATGGTCATAAGACTAGTCTTTGTGTAGATAAGTCGAGGATGTATGTATGTATTGCAAACGAAATGTGGTGAAGTACTAATTCTCAGAGTAAATAAAGAGAGATAAATCTAGACATTACTTTAGATACATGTAACTAGGTTCATTAGTCTAGGCGTCTGATATCAAACCGGTAGGTTATGGGTTTGACCTCAGCTTCATCGACTAAGGTTTGAGTAATCAGGTAGCATCATTAACTCTCAGGTTATATGTGTGACTCATTGCTTACTATACAGATATGTGCAAAATTAGTGACAATATGTTGATTTCATCACGTATAAAAACTTGACGCAAGCGTACAGTGCGTAAGAATCCTGTACTTATTACATTTTTTGAGGATACACATCGGTTACTTAAAACCCAAAACACCGTAAAACTGTGTACTTCACAACAAATTCGCATATATTTGGAAAGTTGATGAGAAATCACTGATGACAACAGCAGTCGGCAATTATCACTTTCGAATTTGTCACGTATACTACTCATCTGAGGCGCATACGCCGGTGGGACCGATGAAAAGACACTAGAAGATTTCGATTTCAACAGCGATGATGATTTATGCCTAACGTCGAATGTCGCACAAACTCGAAGATCTACTGGCGAAAACTAACAAGTTGACAGAAGAGGCAGAGCAGCGAAAACAGGATTTCAAGTGAGTGTAGAGAGGATGGAGATGATGAAGATACCCAACCAACAACAACAACATCAACACAAGCAATAACAACAAGAAGCATCAATCACCAATCACGATGGAGGGGAGAAACGTGAAGGAAATAGTCTCTTTCACCTACCTACCTACCTACCTACTTACCCAACTACCTACCTGCCTGCCTACCTCCTTAGGCAGCATCGTTTCAACTACGGGTGAAACGGGTACAGATGAGGATGTGAAAGCCAGCATCAGAAAGACAGCAACATAGGCCTCCTTTCATTGATATGAAGTCAGTGTGCAGATCTACTGCACTATACTCAGCATAATGTGTGAACAAGATGCGGATTGTCAACACCAACACCAGTCAACTCAGTGCTGCTATGTGATGGTTGAGAGGCTTGGTGCATCACGAAAAGCACTTCCAACAAACTACAGACATACATCAACAGCTGCTGTCTACGCTCACTCTATACTGAAGATCAGATGAGAAGGCGAGAAAGAAAGAGCAAGGGGGGAGAGAGTGTGGGCTGTCAACGAACCGAACAAATATGCGGTGGAAGAAAGTGGAGATAGATTGGATTGGGTATATACTGAGAAGACCGACTGTTGACATCACGTGTCAGTTGAGGCCGTCTAGTGTAATCCGAAGAGGAAACGACGAGTTGGTTGTTTGAGGTGAGGGTGACATGGAGGAGATGATGTGAGGGCGAAATGAAAGCTAGTGTGCAGTGATTGAGCAATGTTGAAAAGACTGTAGAGGACAGAGTGGAATGGAGGCGTGCTACTGAATCCATATATTCCACTACGAACCCAAGAGGAAGGCTTTTCACCTGCTTTTATAGAGTTTCCAACTCTGTTCGTTTTCTAACTGCTATCTTCCACTGAAAAACTCATTAGCTTTTAATTTCTTTTATATAGTCATCCTAACTGGGTTGGGTAGTGTTATGTCAGAATCATAAAACTTGAAGCTAGGGTAGCGTTACCGAATTTTTCGATTGATTTTTATTAAATGATGAGAGTTACAAGTGTCATTTTGACTATCTGAGGTAGCCATGGTTTGGCAGACTAGTATAACTTTCGATACTGAGTGATGGTTGAAAGTGAATGAAAATTTGATGCTCCAACTCTGCAATTAAGTCAGATTTGAATTGGGATGAGAAGTCTCAACTAAGCAACCAGTGTGAATACGATCAAGCGATGGTAAAGCGTCACAAATTTATATGGTAGTCGGGCTAAACCCTTGGTGACTGAAGTAAAATAAAAATCTTTTCAGCAGTCGAACCTCGTAGCTCAGTTAATAGAGCTCCTGGCGAGGAACCTGGTTGTCGCTAGTTTGAACCCTTCCGCCGTTCAAATTTTGATTTCGCCTTTGATTATCCCCCAGTACGGAAAGTTATGAGTGTTTTGAGCAAAACTTTAGAATTTGAAAAGTTTTTCTTACGTATTTTTCTATTGAAGGAGAAGAGGTTGATTGGTGAATACCTCAATGGCATTTTTGAAGTTTTTGTAACTCGTATTTCGTAGGCTAACACAAATCTAAATGATCTGCACACAGGTGAGAAAATTTGTTGTGATTACACTCATAGTGAAGTTATGATGTGAAATTTACAGGCTGATAAGTTATACAGTTTAATTCAATCTTAAGTACGTCGAAAAATACCTTTGAAACTTCATGCAATATCTATATACACGAATATCTTTGCTAATGAATATTGTAAAGCAGTACGTTACGTGAGTTCTTAAAAAATTGGTTGATTAAGGTCAAGTTGGTAAGAGAAACCACCGGAACTTGAAGGCAATTACCACTGCTCGACCATTCTATTAGCCTAAAACTGTAGCCAAATAAATTTCGTGACATATTTCACAGTCCTTTCTATCTGTTATTTAAATTATCACTATTCTTCATGCAACCACTACAGGTTTACTATTTCCTCTGCCTTGTTGCAAGATGGATGAACATCTACAAATAATCAATAAAACATGCCCAATAAGATTCACAAAAGTTAACAGTAATGTTGGAATTGGATGCAATAAAGTGTTCACTGAAAAGTTTGGATTCTACACAGATATGTTTGTTCTCGCTACTATCGTCATTTTAACTAATAGTGTAAGTTAGGCAGAGTTACTTTTTCATCCTCTAAAGTTTTTCAAATTTATACTTTGACTACTGAAAAGTGGTATTCAGTAGGTCAAAATTATATGAATTTCTAGCAGGCCTCAGGCAGTTTCATAGTTCAACACAGTTAATTTGATCATATATATCCGTACATAATTTGTCTGTCTTTTCCTTTCAATAGGTAATCATGATGTGCATCACAGTCAAGGCACTTCGGGACTTTGAGCCAATTGAAATATGAAACTGCTAAGAGTTAATTCATATCACGCACAACACTAATTTCCACTTTACTTTAATGGTGAACTATATAAAGATTGAATTTTGAGCAAATATGTGAAACATGTTTGAGTATTAGGCAATGAAACTTCAAAACTGGGAAGTCGTAACTTTTTTGTGAAATGCTTTTTGAGTGAACTACCAGCTATCAGTTGAATATACATCTAAATAATCAGCAAGCTTAAAATATACATTGATTGGTCATTGAAGGACAACCAATTTCATTCTATCTAATCCTGTGTGCTAACCAAAATTCATCCATTATTTTGCAATTCTATGACCAAGCTCACCATCGTGGTGCACCTAGATAAATGGTAGTTTGTTGGAGGCAGTGGACAGGAAGCCTTGGACTTTGGATTTGTGCTTGTTGGTACTGGTCAGCAAGGTGTTTCTGCAACCTCGAGGAAACTAATGTCAGTCATGAAGTGATAATCTACGTTGCCTAGTATTTTAGTCAAAGATATTACCACTGAGCTATTTTGGCTATGACTGACCTCCTGAAGTACTGGATCAGACAAACTGACTGGTTACTGAAGAGCAGCCAATTTCATTTTTCTAGTCCTAAGTGCTGACAGAATTCACCTTGCTGATGAGTGCTGACAAGCACGAACCTGTGTCCAAGGCTTTCTGTGAATTGTCTTCAACTGACTCATAGGCTAAAAATCTGTCCAGTCCTTTTAATTTTACCGAATTTCAAGAAGTCGATTCATCACTTGATGACGTTATTGACCTAACTAAGCACGCTGATAGAAAATATGTCGAATTCTTTGAAGGAATGTCGGATTAGAAGCAAGTGAGTGATTACATTTTCAGTTCTTGATGAAGGGGATAGAATCAGATTATTCCAGTCATGTGGCTGTACCAGGTATTGCTTCGAGATTCGCATGTACATCATGAAAATTGTATGCTGATTTCCTCACATTCACTCCAGGCATCAAGTAGATCCTAAATGAATGTCTGTATGGGATGATTTTCTAAAACATATTGTTTTTTGATACACTTAGGGCAGTGTAAACATTTGCTCAGTTTTTTTACGTCACAATCTTTAACTAGTAACCAAATGGTTTTCAGTAGCCACGAGGAAATTGTCGCGGGTTCGAATCTCAGGCGGAACATCAGTTCCGTTTAGGTTGCAGATATGCCTTGCTGACGAGTGACAAAAAGCACGAAACCTAGGTCGAGTAGGGCTTCCTGACGATTGCCTCCAACCAACTAATAACTGAATAGTCAATATGATCGAAAATGACTTCTCATATCGTAGACCATTCCATGAGCTCCTAAATGTTTTCATAAGTAATACTTGAAAGTTAAAAAGGATAGTGATCTGATGTTCCCTAATCTTTAATATTTCATCGTAGTCATTTCATCTTCGGAATAAAGTGACATCTTTAGAACTAACTTCATGAAGAAATGGAGCATATTCAAATATTACACAAGTGTTTAGCTCAACAGAAACATCACCAAAACATTCGTGTAACATTTCAATATGCTTCATTTGTCTTCGAAGTTAATGTTAAGGATGTCAACATATTTGATTATGAAAGATTCACTACAAAATATCAAAGATCATGAAATATCAAACCACCATCATCTTCATGCTTAGCTACCAATCTTTTCAATTATTTTGAACACGAAAAATATAGAAAAGTTTGTGTCTATATAGTCCCTTGACTCTGCTGTTATTGAGGCAGGATTTGGAAGAACAGTTCAAGAACCACCAATAAATATATAGAAGAAACTTGGATTCTCTGAGCACCTGTAGTACCACTTTTATCTCGTTTGACAGGCAAGAAGCAATGAAAGTTGCATATTTTAATTCACGATGTCAAACATTTCATCATTTTGTTTTAAGATACTTCAGAATAATCGATTTTATTCAGTTCAATTGTTCTTGTCCATGAGAAATGCAACGAATGTTCAGTGTCAATTAAGAGGTGAAAGTTAAATGTGATAACAAAAGTTGACCAATCAGCGAAAGGGAACGAGAAGCTTTATTACACTATTGAGTGTTATCGTGAAAGTCTTTTATTCTACCCAAACACCTGCTATCCCCGAAATAAATTTCAGCCTTCATATCTCTAAGCACATAGTCATTTAACTTCATGTAAGCTTTTAAGAAAATAATACTTGGTTTAAAATGGGCACGAAAAGAAAATACTATTCTTCTTCACTGAAGTCACAATCATTCAAACGACATCCGTAGGTTTTTTCATTTGTAACAACATTAACAAAGTGTTATTGCTTGTATTACACCGTCGTTGATTGGACTGAATTGATCAGTCTCTGTTGGCATATGGGCTCCTATGTGAATGCCTCCATATTGCCTGTGTTTTAATTATGTATTGTAATGATGATTAGTGGCTATCAGTGGAATCTAGGATGCGCATTTCGTCCTATTTGGGGCTCGTCAGCTGAATGTACCTACCTCCCAATGAGTGATACCGTTCCCACAGGGATTCGGACTCGGGGGCGACCGCTTCCAACGTAAGAGTGTTATCCACTACACCACCGAGCCACGATAGCTGCTCCTTGTGCGACGGGTATAGTTTTAGTATTATTGCTTGACGAAATCCACACTCTGGATTCCACTACTAGCCACTACCCATCATTACTATACAATATTAACAAAGATTTGGACACACAAGTCGATTCAAGTAATTTGTAACCTTCTATTGATTGCACTCAGTTGGAACTTAAGGCAGATTAACATAGTGAATGAATGGCAAGTTAACATTTTGGAATGTAGCAAGAAGCTGACTAGATTAAAATCAAATCCAACTCTTAAGATGCATGTACAAGGAAACTGAATTCTCCGTACACCTTCAATAAATCTTTCATTCACGGAAAAACGTTGTTCATCTACTGTTATATACCTGGTGAAGGCTAATGGTTGAATCCAGGAGGTACGTTTCGGACTATTTAGGACTAGTCAGCTGATCCGAGTGGGTGATGATATTCTCACTGGGAATGAATTCCAGCACCTATCGCTTTTAACCCAAGAAATTGTTTACCAGTCTACTAGATCACTAGAGGACGTAGCACATGTCCTAGATCTTGCCGCTAGCCACTACAAATCAAATACCATCAAAACTAAACTGGAGGCAGTATTGCGCATCTGTTCAAGGGTCTACCTGCCAATACAGACCAGTTATTTCTGCTCAGTATCATAATTAACGTTGTCCATCTGGTTTAATTCTCCAGTAGTATATAATTACATAAATAACTTGCCTATCGTTTCGCTGATTGTAGAACCGCATATACCAATGTTGAATTTCTGACAAGTTATCTCTTCATTATTGAATATTTGTGATTAGCTTATAAGAATTTTAAGTCACCGGGTGTCAAGTAATACATTAACCTCCAATTGGAAAAGAATTCGCTGGGAAACTGATTTGGATATTTTTATGGGGGGCGGTTATTAGGATCTTTACGTAGAACTTTATCTCTGTTCATCTCAAGAAATTCACTTATTGATATTCAATTAAAAGTTGACAATTCGGTTCATATCAATGTATACAACAGATTATCCGTTTCTGTGAGTTAATAACTTCAATTCCATTATACCTCTGCTTGAAAAATGAGATCACGGGGACTATCCATCTTAATTGGTTCCTAAGGATAAAAATCTGGAAACAACACCTGATACAATTTAGAACTCATTAATTCAAGAAACCTATCTCTTAGTAAGTAATTTTGTACCCTGTGAAAGTTGTAACAATCACCTACAGCTTCAAATATCGAAGTATTGTCCACTACACTACTAAGTTATAACAGTCATCCTTTGTGAAACAGACATAGTACAATGAAAAGCTAAAAGTTGTATCATATGCTATAGAATATTTTATGGAATTTGAGCACTCAACACTCCTTTTAAAAGATCCATATACATTTATTCTACTGTGAAAACATACAGGCATTATTATTAGAGCAACAGGCGGAAAAAAATTTAAAACCACTTTATATTCGAAAATAGACGTAAAAGTTTTATAACCACCATGATGCTGATAAGAAGTTGATCATTCAAGATGATTTTCTTATGATATGGTCGTCTAAATATCTGATTATTGTGTAGAATCTGGCAACTTTTTCAAGGAATTTTTGTTGAACCATTTTTGCTATTAAAACCGAAGCCTATTCCTGAACTTACAGATACTACTGAAACATAGAAACATTAGTAGATGGAATTGCAATGACTTCAATTGAAGATGTAGTGATAATTATACTAACAACAAGAATCTTGAGCCGTCAATCTCATTAGGAATAAAATAGAATTTCAGTAATGATTCGCTTCTTGAAGAATTAGAAACCTTCGGAGAAATACTTTTAAAGAATGGCTACTTGCTTAGATTCCTAGAGAAATATATGAAAGAAGAGGATACTATAGAACAGATTCCTAAGGAAATACTTTTAATGAAACTCAAATCCATAGGTGACATTGTGGCAGATATTCTTTGTCAATGCTGCAACTTGTGTATTTTCTTCTTATATCAACCGCTGATTCTTCATTGTATGGAAAACAAGTTGGCCCATTGGTCCTTATCAATGTACATTTATAAGTTGATTCAATCTTCTGAAACTGAGTTTTTCTGCAATAATATACTCTCGCTTGTCAAATACGCTTGAAAACACTACCCTTCTTGGTTGCTGAAAGTCAAGTACAAACCCTTCACTAGCTTCATAGTTGAACATATTATCTCGTGCTATGTAATATCACTCCATTCCCTACATACACCTATCGATTAAGTTTGACCTTTTATCGAAAAAAAAATTGTCTGGAACATTCTGTTGTTCCACTAATATATTCACTAATGTAAAAATAAGTCATCGAAAACATAATTATCTTCGTTGTAGCAGCTTTTTTATTTTTCAATAATATAATCATCCCTTTTCTTTCCAGACGATATTCGTTCACCACTCCAGACTAGATAAGATGAAATTAGTTACTTTCCAGTGACTAATTAATTT